ACATATAGTTCACCAACTGAAAATGAATGGATCTATCTTAGATTAAACGTTTCAGATAGCATGTTTTATAGACAAACTTTCCTGAGTCCTGATCAGATTTTGCCAAAAACCTTAACCATAACTAAAGAGATCTTACCCTAGAACAAGTATTGAATGTCATAAGAATCGAAGAGCAACATAGACTCAGGGAGAAAATTGTGACAAAATCCGAACCCAAAGAACCCAAAGTAAACAATGTTGAATCTAAATCATTTTCCAATCACAAGAAACGCCCCTTCCATCAAAATCAAAATAAAACATTTAAGAAGAAATCATTTCATCAAAATAAGAACAATGTCTACTTTCAAAAGAAGGAAGGAGCTGAACATCGAGCCTGTTTCGTTTGCGGACGAACCAACCATCTTGCAAATTACTGCTTTTATAAGAAGACAGAACCACCCAAGTCTAGGAAAGAAGGACCTCCACCTAATAAGTCACAAGTAAACATGGTGACCTTCAGTTTAGCTGAGACTGCTTTCAGGTCTGTTCTCTTCACCCCTGAAGTAAACATGACATTTCAAGCTAATGATTGGTGGATTTACACTGGAGCTAATATTCACGTTTGCTCTAATCAATCTCAGTTTTCTACTTATCAGGTCTCAAGTAGAGGAACTGTGATAATGAGAAATAATGATGTGGCTCATGTATCTGGAATAGGTCGGATCAACCTAAAGCTCACTTCGGATTAGACTTTGATCCTACAGGATGTTCACCATGTCCACCATTACCAGACATTAGGAAAAATTTAATTAGCGGATCTTTATTAGTGTAACAAGGCTACAAACTTGTTTTTGAATCAAATAAAGTTGTAATAACTAAGGGATTGAATTTTATTGGAAAAGGATTTCTATGTGATGGTCTTTTTAAATTGAATGTAAGGAACTCTACTTCTGCATCTCCAATGGCTTTGAATATTGAACCATGTATCACTTGGCATCAAAGACTAGGACATGTCAATTATAATTCAATTAAAAGATTGATGCAACTCAATATAATTCCAAAGCTTAATATAAAAGATAATAAAAAATGTGAAATATGTGTAGAAACTAAACTTCCTAAGAAACCCTTCAAAACCATTGATAGAGATTCTGAGATATTAGACTCATCCATAGTGATATTTGTGATTCAGAAAGAACATCTAGAGGAGGTAACAAATATTTCGTAACTTTCATAGACGACTATTTTAGATATTGTTATCTCTACTTAATTAAGAACAAAGATGAAGTGATAAACAAATTCAAAATATATAAAGCAGAAGTTGAAAATCAATTGGATAGGAAAATTAAAATACTAAGATCAGATAGAGGTGGTGAGTACACTTCTAATAAACTAAAACAGTTATGTGAAGAGAATGGAATTATTCATAAAATAACTGTTCCATATACACCTCAATCTAATGGAGTAGCTAAAAGAAAGAATAGAACACTAATAGACATGGTAAACTCAATGTTAATTAATTCTGGTGTGCTGAAGAATCTGTGGGGAGAAGCCCCCATGACTGCTTGCCATATACTAAATAGAATTCCATTCAAAAATTCGAATAAAACCCCTTACACAATTTGGAAGAATAGAAACACTAATTTAGATCACCTGAAAGTGCGGTGGTGCTTAGCAAAAGTTAAGATACTTAAAAATAAGAGAAAGAATATTGGCCCTAAAACTGTAGATGGAATCTTTATTGAATATGCTTCTGATAGTAATACAAATAGATTTTTAATAATCAACTCTGTCATTAATGAGATAGCCAACAACACCATTATTAAAGCTAGGGATGCACATTACTTTAAAAATATTTTTCCTTACAATACCAAAGTAAGCAACACGGATCCTAATTCTAGCAATACAAATCCTAGTTCTAACCAATGTGAAACTAGTTCTAGACAAATCAGACTACTAGAAAATCCAGAAGAACCTAGGAGAAGTAAGAGAACTAGAGTAGAAAAGGTCCATGAAGACTTCTATGCATTACTTGTATAAGATTCTTCAATTACATTTGAGGATACAATAAAATCAGTAGATGTTCCATTTTGGAAGGAAGCTATAAGTAATGAGATTCAATCTATAGTTCAAAACCATACTTGGGAGCTCACTGATCTTCCTCCAAGATGCAAAACTATAGGATGTAAATGTGTATTCAAAAGGAAACTCAGACCTAATGGAACAATAGATAAATATAAAGCCAAATTAGTACCTAAAGGATATACCCAAAAATCTGGTATTAATTATTTTGATGTATATTCTCCAGTAGCTAGGATTACTACCATTAGAGTCCTTATAGCTCTAGCATCCATTCATAAATTAATAATACATCAAATGGATGTTAAAACTATATTCTTAAATGGAAATTTAGATGAAAAATTTTATATGGATCAACCTGAGGGATTTATTACTTCTGGACAAGAGAAGAAAGTATGTAAGCTTATTAGATCACTATATGACTTCAAACAAGCTCCAAAACAATGACACGTGAAATTTGATGAGATCATACTATCTTATGGATTTGAAATTAATCAAACAGATGAGTGTGTATATCATAAAATAGACAATAACAACAAAATTATGCATAGTCGGAGTCCTCGTTGACGTAAAAACACAAATCCGACGAGGAGGAGGAGTAGCCTAAGCCTCTTTTCATCCTGTTGAAGTAATTTGAGGGCTTCCCTTTGGGAACGTAGGCGGGTTTGATGACCGTCTTACGTCCTCGAGATGAGTGTGTATATCATAAAATAGACAATAACAACAAAATTATGATTTTATACTTATATGTTGATGATATTCTTATTTTTGGTTCTAACATACAAACCGTAAATGAAATCAAACACTTCTTATCACAAAAATTCGACATGAAAGATTTAGGTCAAGCTGACATAATTCTTAACACTAAAATCTTGAAGAATGAGAATGAATACGTGCTATCACAATCACGCTACATAGAGAAAATCCTTAAGAATTTATGATCCAAACTATCAACCTGTTTCTACTCCACATGATCCTAATGTACATCTAAAAAAAATATAGGTTATCCTCAATTACAAAGAGAATATACACAAATAATTGGATCATTAGGATTCCTGACAAACTACACCAGACCTGACATTGCTTATGCAATAAATAGACTTAGTAGATATCCATCAAATCCTGATAAGAATCAATTAGAGGGGGCAATTAGATTCTTGGGACAATGTCTTGCACGCTTCGATCATCAGACCATATTTTTATACTTTATTTATTTACTTTTGAATCAATTTTATTTCTGTGTTATAATATTAACCCGTCATTATCTAAAATAATTTCTATCTGTTCAAAACTAATTCTTTTTCGTACTGATTACAACCTAAACAGCAACCAATTTCTAACACCTCTGTGACTATTCGCCCCGTTCTTTGTTCAAAATTTGAATGTTTCGCATCTGTAATTTGGTGGACAGCTAGAACACACTACTGTGGCATAACATTGCAAGTACGATGGACCCATGATGAACATGGCCCATTCAAAATCCTACGCCAAAAATGAATCCATCGCTTTAAGTGACTCACTTTAATTTACAATTTACATAAATTATGGTAGGAAGATAAAAATGTAAATAAATCACTACCTAAATGCAAGGTTCGAGGCTACAAAATACATATAATCCACATTGCATTCGAAGAGAAAAAAGGAATATACTTTACTTCGAATGCATTAAGTAATCAATGGTCCTAAAGAAGTATAGAATCAATGATATCCTTATTTTCATAGTATTTTCTTACATCTTAGTATCTATGTGTATTCCACACATAATTAACATTAATTGAATATTTGAACTAATGGCCAAATCGAAGGGATCCTAATCTCATTATCATTGGAGGTATGCAAAAGCTCTTATATATATGCGCCTTTGTATTTGTAATTTTAATTTTATTTTGAGTCTGTGTAGATAAATTTTCCATTTCCCCCTTCCTTTTACCCGTGTGTAGGTGTCCAATGGACGTGGCTCTCTGCACATGGACACAAAAATACTGGAAGAATATTTCTAAATAAGATTTGATTTGATTAAAAAAAAATGGAAAGCCAACCAAGCTAACCATGCAAAACTCACTAGTTCATTTATAGTTCCCTAATTCTTGTGGCTTATAATTTTAAAAAAAATCACTATCGTCATAAATGATCAATTTAGGTGACACACCGAACATGTGATGATGAGATCGGAGTGTATTTATTGTCATTAAATTCCTAGGTACCCATCGGTGCAGTTGAGTAGACATTACGGTCCGAGCGCGAAAATTGGGTTCATTTAGGTCTTCCTCAACTTTTTTTTGCTAGTTTTAGCTGTCTTTGATAAGGATATAGGTGAATAGGAAAAAAAAAAAAGGATATGCGTGGGATGGAAATTGCCACTAAAAAGATGATCAAATTTTTCGTTTATTTTGATCAAATTTTTCGTTTATCTCGGAATAAACGCTAAATTAAGGTGATCAATTTTTTTGTTTATCTCGGAATAAACGCTAAGGGAGAAAATTAATTGCATACAAAAAACTATGCACGTAACAAGAGTTCTTTTCACTTTACTACACAAAAACTTTACAGATTTGAACTTTGGTACGTGTTTGAAATTTAATAAATAATAACCAAAAGTTTAACTATTTAACATTTTAGTAAATAATTATGTGAAAATTAAATTTTATGTTACAATTACATCGTGTGTGCTTCGTGACATTGTGCTAGGGAAGAGATCTAACTGGTTTGAACCGATTAAACTAACCTAACTGGTTTAGTATCTGTTCCAATTGATTTAATTAGGAAAAAATCGATCTGAACTGACGTTCTCTCAATGCGCTAAAAATCACTCTTTTTCCCCCACTTTCTTTTCGGTCGTTGATCCACAAATTTTATTCTCTTTTTTCCCTAAAATTGATTATTTTTTGCTACTAAACCCGTGTCGTGCACACCTTTGAAGACGGGCCGGCCTTTTTGGTTCTCAGCACGTTCAAAAAGCCACAACCTATTGGGCTTCCAAAATGGGCTTTCCCAAGTCGCCGAACCCCCTAAACTCTCGCAACCTTTCTCCATCCCTACTCTTCTCTGCTCGCTGCCTTGCCGCTCTCATGGCACAGTCTCCAAAGTCCGAACCCGATCCCTCATCCACCCCCGACTCCGGTCTGGTTCTCATGAACACCGACTCAATCCGATCCTTTCTCCTCTCCGTCTTATCGGACTCGGGTCCAGACATCTCGCCGGAGCTCCGAGGTCTCGCTTCCGATCTCTCCTCTCGAACCTCCGTCCCTTACAAGTCCCTTCGCGCCATTTGGTCCGCTCTCCCGGTCGAATCTCGTCCTTCTCCCTCCCGCCTCTTCGCCGGATCCGAATTCGTTTTCGCAAGCCCTAAGCCGAGGGAAAAGGTAAACGGTTTGGATTTCTTAGGTTTTTATTGGGTTGTTATTACTGGGTCTTGATTAGGGTTTTGGATTTGGGGTTGGATTTGCAGAGTGAGGAGCTGAAGGCGAGGCTGAGGAAGTTAGAGGAGCTGGCGGAGAGGAAAGCGTATGCGGAGCTGGTGAAGGATATTACTCCGAAGAAGGGAACGGATGAGCCTTTCTCTTCTTACAAAGATCAAATTGGCTTTGGTATGAATTATAATTATTGTTGCTTTTGGGTTTTTTTTATTGTTTTTTGTTGCGATTAATGAAACCTTAGTTAAAAGAAAGCAATTCTAAGGATCCCGTTCGGGCATAAAAGTATAATTGAAATAATCCTGATTTTACTTTTCAAATATCCACTTTATAGGGTTAAGATGCGAAAATTAGAGAAAAAAATTGAAGAAATTTTCCTTCTCTATAGTCATCTGGTATTTGTTCACCCTTGGCACTTGATAGATCTCTTCGATTACATTAAAACTCTAATGTTGTGGTCACAGTTGAGATTTATGTTTTCATATTTTAACATGCCTTGCAAGTTGGACATCATTTCTATGTATTGAAACTGGAAATACTTCACATAACGGTATGTTCTCTCTTAAATCCCCTTGAAATTCAGGGGGACTTGGATTCGAACCTGGATTGCTCTGATTCTAGGTCATCATTCCTTTTATTGAATAATTTGGTGAGGATTGAGATTTATAGTTTTGTACTCTAGCAAACACATTGTTAACCGAGTCATCTTCTTCTCTTTGGATATGTTACATCATATGTAACCCTGCAAAACCTTGTTGTGTGAGTGAACTCCATAACAATCACTTTTTGATCTAGAATTTCAAAAATACACCCAACTCTTCGGATATGTTAGTTCTCATATAACGATGAAGCCGAACGATATAGAGGAAGTGCAAGGGGTTTTATGTCACAGAAACAATCACTCTTAGGTTTTACAAATCCTTAAATCTTTTAAGAGATTTGCATCCTTGTAATTAATGTATTATAGAGAAGATAGTTTATACTTCGTGCTAGATCTGGGCTAGGTTCTAGTCTACAATATGATTATCATAAATTGTTGTGGCAGACATGTGGACACGACTCACTCTTTACACACCCATGTGGCATGACTTGTAGAGTGCTTATTAAAAGGAAAGGGAGATAAAGATGGTTACTGTGTTTTCTATGTTGTATTGGAAGTAACAAGAATGAATATTTGGAAACGAACAAGGGAAGAATCAGAAAAAAGAGGTGTTAATGGATATTGTGTTTTCTATGTTCACGACATCCAAACAATATCTGATGCTCTTTGTTAATTATTTCTCACTGCTAATTATTTCATTGTCGTCATAGGTAAAAAAGTAGTGCTAAACAGAGCCCATTGCTTCTCCTCGTATGTGACTAATTGTGATGTTAACACTTTATGGCACTTGAATGCTGAGTTCATACCTGTGTTAACACTGGTCTCATATCCTTGTAATCTTAATACTTGATATATGCAAGATTCGGACTACAAATAAATGGTGACAAATATTATTCTTAAGTGGAGACCAGCTTGTGGGATATAGCAGGCACTCATAGGATAGTGCCCTAGAGTAATCATTTCCCCCCTTAAGCAGTGGTGATGGTCTTTGATGAACTTTACTTGAGTATATGGATAAGATTAAAGTATGTTGGTACTCGTTTTGGGTATAATAGATGTCAACGGATCTTTCGCTGGACCGAAAACTCCAAAGTTTGTGATGAGGGTTGAGAATTAATTTTTTAACATGACCCCGCAGAATGGGTGCCCTAAAGTTGGACTCATGCGGTATCATTTGTTTAATCCACTTTAAGTCAGTGGGCAGTGGGAATTGAACCTGAAATGCACTGATATCATGTCGAAGGACCTTCCGTTCAAAACTCTTTCTAACGATTGAGGGTTATAATTTCATGTTCTAACACTAGATATCACCTATAACAGGAATGCTTGTGAGCATTGCTAGATATGCCGGCACTTGACTTTCTGATGATCAACTAATTGGTCTTTCTACAAGATTCGGTTAAGCATATCTGGAGGTATTAGCTTCATTGCTTCATGAATATTAGACACCATCATATTTTGGCATTATTTGTATAGTTTAAGTAGCCAGAATAGAAATTTAGAAAATCACTGGTTGCCAAATATTCCTTGTATGTCATCTGTGGTTTTCGAATCGTATCGATACTGCACCTTGATTGGTCCCTTCTATTCACATCTGTGTGATAAAGATTTGATTGAAATATATGCATGGCGCCTTTATTACTTAGAAATATTGAACTTATGATATGAGCCAATTTAAACTTCTCTTTTTGCAGGTATACATGTTGTGCTGATAATGTTTACTGGCTATTTGGTTGGATATGCTGCTTTCAGAGCCCTGTTCAATCACAGTATTGTCATGGTAATCTGAATACATTTGCTTTCCCTTCCTAAATGCCTGCAAGAACCATTTTTTGTGATTGGTACCAAGCATACCAATCTCTCTCTCTCTCTCTCTCTCTATATATATATATATATATATGAGAAATATGGGTATGCTTGGTACCAAACACAAATTTTGTGCTTGGTAGTGAGGTGGCACAATCCCCTCCACTCATTCAAATGGGGGACCACATTCACATGGCTTGAGGAGTGCATGAGGATATGCAACCATTTGAATGAGTGGAGGGGATTATGCCACCTCACTACCAAGCATAACTTTTTTTGTTTGGTACCAAGCATACCCATATTTCTCTCTCTCTCTGTCTATGAAAAGGCAACAATTCTGGCCCTTATTAATATCGTTCCTTGTGAACTCTTGCTGCCAGAATGCTGCTGGAGGCATCATAGGTTTGGTGTTCGGCATGCTTGTGGAAACACTGCTCTTTATTATTAAAACCTCCAACCATGATACAGGGTCTTCTTCTTCGGCAGCAAAGCTCAAGAAACATCAGTAACTATCTGGTAATTTCCCCTATTAATTTTGTAAATATTGGGACCTTAATGTCCTCTTCCTTTGAACATAAAACCAGATCCAATTGTCTTGTACCTATATTGAGTTAGAATCTCAAAAAAAAAATTCCATACACTTTTTTTTGTCAATACTGAGCCAGTTATGCACACTAAGCTCGAAAACTGTTTGATAACATCACAACCTTTTAACCCTTTAGAAAAACTATCCAATAAGTGCCATTTCGAGTAGCGTCCAATTTCTTAAACATGATGTCTCTGTTGAATCTCTTGTTATTATTGTCAGACTTTATTCACTTCAAGTAATGTTTTTAAGTTTATATGAGCACTTTAGCCTCTAAAGAGGCAAATAGCTAGCCCACTAGTTGTGTAACTCTTCTCTGTTGTTCTCTACTAAGTTTCTGTAGATATCTATGGAAGTCTTGCACTTTGCAAACTGTATTCAAAACTTGTCCATATCTTAGTTATTTCTTCCATGAGTTTTGATCATTAGGTTCTGATACTCTTCATAAAAAATTTAGCATTGAGCGTGCAGATTCACAGAGAATGGTACACTGTACCTCCTTATAGAATCATAGATTTGTATCAAATGCTGGCTACAAAATCGTTCTCTCCTTTTTCCCAATATTTTCTAGACATTTTTTTTAATTTGATATGTCGTAAATTAGTTAGCAGCTCCATTGCGTTTTCTATATTTATATTGTTCTAATGGCTTTTCAAAACTGTTGCGAGTCTGGCTCTCCTATTTAGTCTTTTGCTGTTGGTGGATTCATGATGAATCAGTGTTATTCGTGAAACATTTTGCAGCTCCAGTAGGATCTTGTTCGATTTTAAGATGTTCGGTTCTGTATAAATAAGTGCTATATAATAGCAGATGAATGTTTGGTGTTCATAAGTTCATATGAGCAAAAAGATCACAAGGGAACTTGCTTGAGCTTTATAGTCTGTTTGGGACCTCGCTAAGAGAAGGCAAGGAATGGTAAGAAAAGGAAGGAACTTGTTAATTTTTCCTTCCCCTGCCCTCCTTTACCTCTAGATTTGGGATGTCTTATTTTAGCTTAAAATTTTCCCACCTTCCCCTTTTCTACCTTCCCAAGAAAACTCTCAAAGAAGTTAAAATTTAAATTTCTCTTTCCAAACACAGAGTTATTCACAGCTTTAACTCTCTCTCTCTCTCTCTCTCTCTCTCTCTCTCTTGCATCATTGAAGCATGCTCTAGGCCGACGATATGCAGTTCTTCTAATAATGTCAAAGAGACTCGGATGGTCCCCTCGGATCTTTTTCAGTACATTCAGTTCGGTACATGCAGCTACAAACTCTCCAGTAAATTAAAAGAAAACTAAAAAGAAAAGAACAAAAATCAAATATGGAAGCTCGCCGTGACTATGGAATTTCTTTTTCTCCTCCGTTCGGCTTAAGCAGCAGCAGCAGTTTGTCAACAGCATCAAAATTATTGGGCCTTGTCCTTTTCCGTAAACAGCAGTAATGTACTAGGATCTCTATCTGACTTTCGGCCGCCTATTACGTGAGAACGTGACTGTGTCCTAATTCAACACGATGAGAGAAGTCATGTTTGCTGTTTTGTGATGAATAGCAATTGACTTCACTCCATCAGCAGCTCGGCGGCTCCCCATGCAGTCACGGGACTTACATGTCTTAACGGCACGAGTCGTGGGCCCCATTTCATGTTTGTTGTTCGTGACCCCCTGTTTCTTCGTGCTAGGTGCGGGCATGGGCTGGGCCAATTGAGGCCTATCACCCGGCCCACTGGGTTTAAGGTTAGATCGAGTCTTATCTAGGGCTTATTCTAGGTGGGCCAGGCTTATTTTCTGATCCCAAGTATGAGATAGGATCTAACCTAGCCCACGACCACCTAGGGGCTGGCCGAGACGGTCATGGCCCACGGCCCATGGGTTGCGAGTCGGCCCATAAATTTTTTTATTTTTTTATAATTTTCTATTTCTAATTTTTAAGCTATATTAACTTTGTATTCATATCTATTAAATTATATTTAAATTATTTTTTTCTATTTCACACTCTATTTAAAATGATATACACACACAAAGATTAACATCACATAGGAAAAAATCACAGACACAAATATATACATAGTTTGGACTTCAAAGGAAGACTTACGTCCACTTGAAGTTAATAACTTTTTTTAGTTTAAATTTAAATTACAAATACAAAAGAAAAAAAGGAAAAAACATATTAACCATTAATGTTCAAGGATCCAAAAATCTTCCAAGTTATATTGATGAGCATCACACTTTTCATGTATCAAACTCTGAATGCAATGACTAAGTACGAAGTTCACTCCGCCCCGGAGTAATCCTAGGAAATCAATTTTCATCACTCTTTTCAAGAATCGAGGACAAATTGTAACAAGACTACTAAGGGGCTGTTTGTTTTACTTCTTTTGCCCCTGATTCCTTGCCAAAACTGACAGCTTGCTGTCAGTTTTGACAACTTTCTTGTCAAAACGCCCCTAAAAATGGTGTTTTGGCAGGGAATCAGGGGCAAAAGAAACCAACCAAACAGCCCCTAATTGAACACAAAATGTCATGAAGGATTTGTTAGGAAAAGTAGTACCTATAATGATTGGCTAGATATCAAAAATACCCCTTAGCTTTGAACAATTATCGAAAAACCCCCTTTAACTTTCATAATATAAGAATCCCCCTCAAAGTGTCAAGATTGTCGCAAAATCCTCTTAACTTTCAGATTTTATCAGAAAATTCCCTTTAACCTTGACATTTTATAAGAAAACCTCCTTAATTTATAGGGTTTTTCTGATAAAATTTCAAAGTTAAGGAGAGTTTTTTGATAAGCCCTTAACTTGGGGGAGGGGGGTTTCTCATATTTTCAAAGTTAAGGGGGGTTTTCTGATGATCATTCAAAGTAAGGGGGGTTTTATTATATTTAGCCAATAATGATTCTATCCTAAGGGACATAGAAAAAAAAATCTTCATGGAGCAAAAGGTAAAAAAAAACACTATTTTCCTAACTTAAAAATCATCTCTAACTAATCAATTTAATTAAAATTCTATGTACTTAGCTGATTTTAAGAAACCATCTTTAAAATGGGATCATTTACAAGAACTACTTTTGATTTTTAATTTATATATAAGCTGGCGTTAAAGTATTTTTTGTTGCAATCAACCATCTACGTCTATTTTTTAGTTAATTTTTTTGGGTAATTGATATCATCTAACAACCACTAAGGACTATCTCTCTTATATATTTGGTATTTGACAACTAATTATTATAGTAAAATTGAAAAACATTTAACTTAAAAGTGAGTCCAGGTGGTCAATTAGTACCCAAAAAAAAAAAGGTTACAAGTGGTTTATGTGCGTACTGACAACCGAATTCGAAAGTCTGCATGTATTTATGAAAACATGTCGATAATTAATAGAAGTGGTTTTTTTTACTACTGATGTGAATTTTGATATCAGATCTTAGATGATACGCCTGTAAACTAATCAGTAAACGTTTTATTTCCCCCTTCTTCTTTCTTGATGGAAGCAAATCAGCAAATGTTTGTTCTTGATCATGAATGATCATATATAATTAATCATACTATTAATTAATTAAGCATACATTCTCCTCTATATAGTTTATCAAATCTGATAATAATATAACCAAATGCTAAATTTTTAGGGCCTTCTTGATATAGCAGAATCGAGTGCTGACAGCAATGGCCTTCCAAGTCCCCATGGGTAGTGGCTTCCTTGCTGCAGTTCTTTCCATACCAGTTTTTGTTTTTGGTTTTCTAGTCTCAGCTTCCAGGGTCATGATGTAGTCTGGCTTTCCATTTTGTTGTTTTTTTTTTTGGTCCCTGCTAGATGTTTTGTCTTAATCTTATGTAAGAGACATCTTTTGGTGATTTGGCCTAATACCCTCTAACTCGGAGGCTCAGGCATAATCACAATCAGATATCTTTTGTAAACACTCTCATTTTTTGTTTATATATACATGATAGGACAGTATGCCCTATTTTCATTAAAAAAAATGCTAAATTTTTAGGGCCTTCTTTCTTTTGTTTTGCAGAATCATTTTTTAATTTATACATTGAATCTTTTTTTTTAATAATCAGATCACTGTTTTTTTTGGACCCGCCTTGGTCTTGCCCTTGTTATCCCGTCAGGAGCAGAGGATGCTGCTACATCTAGAAAACAACAAATCAGAAAATGCTTGAAACTTGGAAGCCTGGGACCTCCCATTCTCCATGCCCTGCGTTATCTCGTGGGCCCCGCTTGCCATACTTTGCATGTGGCCGCCGCATTTTGTGGCGCCCTCGTCCGTCGATCCGTTGCACGTGATCTGTACGGGTGCCCGAGAAACTGACGGGAAAACGGACGGTCAATGATTAGTAGAGATAGATATTAGGAAAACACTACACTCACACTCCTAACCATACCTTGAGGCACATCTCCTCTCTCTCAGTTACAGTGCACGGGGCCCACTTTAGATTTTTTTCTCAGCTACAGTACACGGACCTCACTTTAGATTTTTTAAAAAAAATATGGTTGGGGGTGTGACTGTAGTGCCACTCTAGATAATAAGATAAAAATCATTTCTACAAATTCGCTTCCTCTCGTACATTTTCTTAGCGTTTTTTCTTTCTTTCAATTTGACAGTTCAGTAGATCATTCTAACTTTCTATTATATTTGGACTATTATAATCTTTTTCTGAGAGTAAAACAATGAATGAATACATAGGAGTCAAGTATAAATACTTCAAATTACATTCAATCGAACCACGTGCTTAAATGCATTTACCGATTATATACTGAAGACAATCACGGAGGTTAATTTCTCTGATTCGTGAATCTTTGGCATCCATGAAAAGAAGGGAAAAGGGTAGAAAATATTGCATGAAATATCTGGCGCATGCACTTGAAAAATCATTATATGAGAAGGGTGCATGCATGTAGGCAGAGGAGCAGTGGACTTTGACATTTTGCATTAAAAGTTTAGAAGTGGCGAGTGATTTATTTATGGCCACGGCATGTTCACCCGATTGCGACCGACTCTTCAGTCTCACTTTAAACGCTTTTTGAAAAAGATGGCCATTCCGTGCGCTTGGACCCCCATTATTTTGTTTGGAAACATGGCTTTTATTAATTAATTAATTACTACTAGAAATACCTTGTGCTCTCACCCAAACCGGAACAAGCTCTATTAGCAATGCTAAAAGGGTAAACTGTAGATAAAGTTTATACACACACTACTATATATTAATCCCGCGTGTTGCTGCGAGTATTATTTACCAAAGTATATATGTAGCCAAAATGATAGTATGATTTTTATGTAT